GTTCAAATCTACCAATGAGACGAGAGTGCGTTGCCGCACAATGTGATATAAAATCGCTCTACGCTTGTCCTTGTAATCAGCAACCACAAGCAACATCAACAACTGCCAAGGCATCAAGTTGTTCGCAAGATGGATCTGAACAAGTGGATGATGCTGACCCTGGTGTGCCTGGGTCTCCTGGCCATCGTCGCCCTCGCCGACGTTCATGGTAACCTTTACAATTGCACACATACCGCACATAACACATAACTAAACTGATCGCTTTTTTCTCATTTCAGGGAGGGAAAGTGATGATCGCGGAAGCCGCGGAGACAACAACTGGAGTCCTCACGATGACCAGGGCGACGACAAGAAGTGCGAGTGGAAGTGCGCCAAGGTGTGCCACCCCAACAATAAGCCGTGCCACGGATCGACCTCAACCAAGAAGCACGGCGCCACCACGCCCGGCCGCTCAACCACCTCGACCAAGAAGTTCACCACGTCGACCACGACCAAGAAGTTCTCGACCACGGAGAAGCCCTGTACCACGACGGCTCACGAGCAGTGCTCCGCGACCACGACCGAGAAACCCTGCACCACGACCCCCGAGCAGTGCTCTACCAGCACGACCACGACCACCACGACCGAGAAGCCCTGCACCACTACGCCTGAGCAGTGCTCTACCAGCACGACCACCACGACCGAGAAACCCTGCACCACGACCCCCGAGCAGTGCTCTACCAGCACGACCACCACGACCGAGAAACCCTGCACCACGACCCCCGAGCAGTGCTCTACCACCACCACCACCACGACCGAGAAACCCTGCACCACGACCCCCGAGCAGTGCTCTACCACCACCACCACCTCGGGCTGCTCGACCACCACTGAGAAGCCATGCACCACGACCACTCATGAGCTGTGCTCCACCACCACGACTGAGAAGCCCTACTCCACCACGACTACTAGGCAGGCCACGACCACCGGCCAGGCTACCACCACCTGCAAGCAGAGCACGACCACCGGCCAGGCCTGCACGACCACTGGCCAGGCCACCACGAGCACGACCACCGGAAAGGCCACCACGACCACCGGCCAGGCCACCACGAGCACGACCACCGGAAAGGCCACCACGACCACCGGCCAGGCCTGCACGACCACTGGCCAGGCCACCACGAGCACGACCACCGGAAAGGCCAGCACCAGCACGACCACCGGAAA